GAATTGGCGATAAAATAATGTATGTAATATGACTTCAAATTTAATTTTATGACTCTTCAGCCAATCATAAAACTCGGTTAGTAAAAATTATCCAACACGAACCACCAATTCTTCAGTCCACGTGGACTATATCGCAGCGGCATCATTTCTTTGTATTGGTTTCTTTGGCCTTTGAGTTCGCCGATAGCTTTAACTATTCACAATACCGGTTACTTCGGCGATACAGACAGCTGATCGATTACATTTCATGTACCTTATTATTAATCAAAATTATATCGACGATACCAAAAGTTTATTTTTGAAAAGTACAGTTAGGATTTTGTTTTGGATATATAATAACCTCAGTAACAACAAATTTGCTTTCAAAGAGCATTTCTTTAAAATATGAATAATTATTTGGAATTCACTGTAGACGCTTTGACAGATTATGTGTAATATCTGTTCAGCAAGTTATGATGAAATTTTGTCTGGAAAACATAGAATTTCGTCTAGTAACTCAAATTTCTTTCAAATTTATTGTTAATTAACTATTTTGCTGTTGGCAGTACACCCTTCCTTGAATCCGTCTCTGCATAGATGTGTAAACAATGACAAACTTTTGAAATTTCACTTAGAAATCGTCTTATTGCTTGGAATATTATCTTGAACGAATATCATAAAATAAAAGTAGGTAACTCTTTATTTACAAAAATAAATCCCGCTATTATCGTCGTGTACCCGATTTACGCCTTCGCATTTATCTAGACTAGAAATAATGACGTGAAGGCTAGGCTAGGCCCAGTCTGTTGCACCTCGAACGGGGCTAATGACCTGAGCACATAATCTCTCACATTACAGAGTTAGTTTCTCCAACCCATGATGTTATTTTCAGTGATGAACGCATTAATATTACCGAAAATAATGACAGAATTGAGAAAACTCGTCCTTAATTCAGCTAGTCATAATGAATAATTGCTAACAATCTTTATTCTAATAAAAGTTACTGCATTTTAATTTATAAAAGAAAAAGATTGGAATATTATTAATAGAACAATGAAAAAANAAGATTAGTTAGACAAGTTAACAACAACAGGCAACTAGATGCCTATGAGAGTGTAGAAATAAGTAAACACAATAATATCATGAATAACGATCACGGACCTATACCAAAGAGCATACTATATAGCTTGTTAAAATAAATATTGTTGTTGGGTTTACTGATTACTACATAAGGACACATTACAATAATAAATTTAGATAGGCAATATTGTGAAATTAATTTTTATATAGCTGAAAATTGTAAAATTAATTTAGGTTGGTATACCTGTATGGTTGGTACGCCTGGATGGTTTACATGTATGGGTTACCTTTATATCATAAATAGGGTTAGCTCGCATTAGTTTCTAGTTTTAATCTTCCTCTTTGAAGATGATCACTTGGTGATCGAAACACGTGTCGAGGTGTTAAAAATAACGATTTGGTGTTGGGAAAAAACTCCAGTGATATTCATTACTACACCAAAGGTTCCAAACAGTGCATCATAAGTGTGGTCTATAGTTATTTGGAAGATTTTTTTTTGCCCTTTCTGGAAATAGGCTTAATGCGAGCAATCTTGTAAGACAGATTGAAAATTCTGCAAGTCTGTGGAGTGGGACGCAAATTGTTCAGCTAATATATTTGCTTTTCTTCATGTTCTGAAAATATTCTACGAAAAAATAACTAATAGGTTCGCTGCTTTGACTTTACTTTTTTTGTTCACTTTGTGTTTCTTTATCAATTGGATATCACGTTTTGTCTAGTTTCAGGCTGGGGTTTGGCAGCTTGCATCAGTATCACTAATGCCTCCTTGAAGATTGTACAGTAACTTTTCAGTTTATCTATTACACCTTTTTGTAGCCGCAGTCTTTACAAATGAAACTGTTTTTCAACCTATAACTACATATTTTCACGATAGATTTTCAATGACTTCACATATGGTGAAAAAGAATGACCAACTGCGCAACGCATGTTCCTAAGACGTTTTTGAAGGAAAAAATGTTATTATTCATGACCTAAAGTTGGCAGCTTATGGTGTAATATATTGTGTAAAACTAATTAGTAATTTTATGTTCTCGTTAATTGTTATAGATATAATAAATACGGAGGGTAGGTATATATACCCACAATGTGGCTTCCGAGTAGTGCATTTTTCAAAATAAAAGTAAAAAAGTATGAATATATCGCTGGAGATTAAAGCCATTTGGAAAAACGTTCTCAAGAAGTTTATTCCAGAAGAACGCAGATCTCCAAATGGAAGAGTTCTTGTACAGTGAAGTTCGAGGTGTACCGAGTTGAACCTCAAAACGATGAGCAGCCACAGTACGTCGCGTATTTCTAATATGTACCGCTCTTGGAGGAATCAAATGTGCCAAGTCACTTGAACACTTCCCGCGAAAGTTTCTATAGAAGACAGACAAATCTCCAACCTTTCTTCAATGTTCCAGACTATCAAGGTTACAAGTTATGTTCGTGTCTCTAATCATAGGTCCTTTATGGATGGAATCCAGTAGCTTCAGAGTATGCTCAGGGGTGGAGCTTCATACATGAGAACAATATTCCAAAGAAGGTCGTTGATATACAATAAAAAAGTTGGAGGCAATATGGCTCCTGGAGACCACAAGCGTCGATGGTGAAAGTATTCGAGATAAATCCATTGACGGCCACTCGCAGGGAACGTTTTTCCAGGAAGCTGGAGAGCCATACATAGAAATGATCCGACAGGCAATAGCATCGAAGTTTGGCCAGCAAACCCCTATGCCACAGACGACCAATGGCCTCAGAAATATCAAGCGCAACAGCTCTTGACTCTCCATGTTTCTAGATTGCGTCATTCCAAATATGGGTGACATACCATGGAAGGTCGCCTGTTGATCTTTGTTTCCAAAAGCCATATTGATGATCGCTCAAGAT